AGCAGGAGGACAGCCTCCACAGCGTCAGCTTCAGGGTGCTTCCTTAGCACTGTTGTGTCTGTAGGTGAATCTTTAATCTGACCAGGGGATTAAAAATTTCCTGGTTGTCTCAAGAATTTTCAGGATGATGATACTTGGACTGAATGTTTGAGCTGTGCTTTATTTATTGTGCAGAAAAACTCCCCAACATTTATGATAAGTTGCCTATAGTTCTCATTTGTACTTGTGCACAACTTAAATTAAACTTCCAGAATTACTGATGTGGTCAAAGTTCCTGTCACCAAATTCATAAGACCATCTGGGACCTGAAATGATTTTTTTTTTTTAAGAAGTTCAGCTTTGCACCGAATCATAGGAGGGAAACTGCTTTGGAAATAGAGTTGATGCTACTGTTTGCCATTAAACAGGTTGTTTCTTACCCAGATGAATTCACCTAGCAAACCCACAAAATAATGGCATGTATTCTTTTCCAGTGCTCCACCTACGGATGTCTTCAGCTGTTGATTTTTACTATGTTTCATTAGCAAAATTGAAAAGGGTGTCTCGCCGCTGGATTTCCCGAAGTGGTAACTGTAAAAGTTCCTGGCTAGGCTATGCGCCGGCATGGCGGGAAGGTTTCTGTCTTCATAGCTTCGCTGTCATTAGATTTCCATGGGAGGGGCTGGCCTGCACCCAGAGGGCTTTCCTGCCGCTTCATCCTGATGTCCCACCTTGTCACTGAACCTGGGAACCTCCCTCCCCCTGGTGTCCAGGAAGTTTTCAGCGCATCTTTGGTTGAGGTTCTGGTAAGTGGCATCATGGCCAAGCCTGAAATGGTGCAGCTCGTTCACTGCAGCTGCAGATTGGGTGGACCAGGGACTGCCCAGCCTGTTGAAAGCTGCTGTGAGAGAGTCCATGGGGAGCAGAAAAAGCAGCTTTTTCCTTGATGTGCCTGTGGATTGTGCCTCTTGTGAGCTTTGCCCTCTGAAGAGGAGAAAGTGTGGTATGGTGGGTGTTGATTTGGGTTCTCACAATATCCTTCAGTGGAAGGAGGAAACTTCACAGATGTAAGATTACAAGGAGAGATGGCTTGTGCTCTTTATGAAAAAAGATCAGTTTATCCCTTGGATGCAAATACCCATTTCTCTGAAAGCTGCTGCATCAGTGGTCCCTTTTCTGTGATGGCCGGGTGATGGGATGGGCCATAGTGGGGGGAGCTGAGCTTGGCTGGAGAAGTCGCTCCTGTTGGCTGGCGGGGTGAGCAAGGGAGGGTGAAGAGGGAGAGGAAGGGATGGGTTGGCAGAAAAGTAACTAAGTGCGAAGAGAAGTGGTTGGAAAATGGATTTTGATTGAGAAACTAGGGAGGATGAAGAAAGCTGAGGTGTGTTTCAGTTTGGGGGTTTTTTTTATGATAGGAGGGTTGTGAAAGATTGTGGGAAGACGAGATGCTGGGAAGGTGGTTTTAATCGCAGAGGAGCCACTGCACGATACACAAGCCTTGGTTTGTTCTGCTCTGCAGTATTTGTAGTATACATCCAGAGAGCAGACCTGGTAAATAATTCAAGTCTACCTGACAACTAGTTCTGAGCAATGGCAAGATAAAAACTGAAGCAGCTTGAAGGTTTGCAGCTGAAGCGTTGTCACATGCAAAGCTGACCTGAAGCCGCCTTAGCGTTGCCAAACGCTCTGGTGGGCATCTTTGTTGTGCCAGTGAGTTCATGTACAGAGAAAATCCCCTGCAATCTGTCTTCCCACTGCATCCTTTTGCTTCCAGACCTGTAGAGTACAGCAGTGCAAGCAATGATGCTCACAAGTAGCCGTTTGTAAAATGGCAACTAGTTGAACATTTCTGTTTTAAATTTTGAGCTGCCGAAGTTTTGCACTGCTACATTTGATTTAATTATTTCCTCGTTGCAAGCACTCAGTGTTTGAGCAACAAGGGTTAAAGATCACATGAGCTAATATGATACAGTAAAAAGGTTTTTATTCCTAGTAATTTTAATGAAAATGGCAAACTGAACATCAGAATATTTCCTACATTAAAGCATGTTTTCAAAAGAATAATCACCTTTGTGCTTTTTACACAGATTTTTTTTATTTTTTTATAAAAATTGTCATCTGCGCATAAAGAATCCTATGAACTCTGTAGCAAGTCACCTAAAATAAAGTGACATTTGGGCCTCATCAAGACAGGTACTTTCTTTTCAAAAAAACACCAACTTCCTTGTGAGCATCTGATAAGGTGTGCTCTTGGGCCACTTGTGTGTTGTTGGTTGGGTTGGGTTTTTTTAACCTTGAATCTCTCTGGGGACGGTCTCATATTCCTCAACCACAATCACCGGGTGAATATCCTTTCTAACAAGAATCCTGTCTGACTGCTTTGGTGTAGGACTGCAGCCACTGGGCTCTGCCCTTGCCAGGCTCCACTTTCTGCACTGGCTGCAGTGGCCACAGCTGCCTGCCCAGGGAAGAAGAGCATCGCTCCCGCGCCAGGCGTCCTTCCAGATGGTGAGCCTCAGGCCTTTCAGAAGCGATCCTGATCCAGACCTGCAGCTTTTGGGATAAGCTATTTGACTTTATCATCCGAGCCCATTTCCTCACTGGCTTTGCTTTTGGAGAAAAGAGGCCTTGGTGTCTCAGCGCTTGGGAAGGTTTCCTGGATTCAGGACTCTTTCTGGAACCACCTACTATGGCTGTTGCCACCT